GCCCCGCGCAAGGGCGCGCGGCGGCGGAGCTGCGTCTGGTCGGCCGGCGGCCATGCCCAAACGGGGCTGCCCGTTCGCGGACGCGGCCCCATTGCAGCTCAAGGTAAACGTGGGCCCGAAGGAGCTGAGCCGCGGCGTGTGCGCCGAGCGCTACTCGCAGGAGATCTTCGGTGAGGGCCGAGCGGGGCGAGGTGCAAGCGGCGGGCGGGAGCCGGGAACTCCGGGGCCCTCGGTCAGCCCCGCACCCTGGGACCTGGCCGCGCCCGGCGGCAGTGAGGGACGGGAGTGGCCCCAGTGTTTCTCAGGACCTTGTCGTGCGGGTGGGCCCCGGTCTCTGCACGGAGGCCCCCGGGCCCGAGAGGTCAGGAGGGATGCCCTGGGTAGCCCGAGAGGCACTGACGGCGCTTGGTGCCTGGCCCGGCAGGCCGGAGACAGAGTAGAGGCGCCCCTGCCTGCTTCGAGCCCCCCAGGCTGTTGGGGAGACCAGAGGAGCGGGAACGGCCAGAGGTGACCAGGGCAGGTACAGGCCGCTGCGGAGCACCTGCAGGACGGTCAGGAGGACTCCGAGGAACAGAGTTGAAGTGGAGTCCTGCGGGGTGAGGACTTAGCCAGCAGAGAGGAGAGGAGAGGATGAGGGCCAAGCCAAGGGAGCAGTGTCTGCGGCCCCCCAAACAGCATAGTAGAGCCCTGTGAGCTGGGAGATCGGTTCAAGGTGGGACGGGAGGGCAGGGAGCAGCGGTGCGGGGCGTCCTCGCCTGGAGTTTTAGGCGGGTCCAGATCATGCCTGTCAGTCTGACTAGGGCTATTAATGCCCTGGGGCAGGTGCAGAGTGGAGCCAAGCTGCCTGGGGTGGTAGAAACACCAAGCGGTGCTGCTGTGCTGTGGAGATGGGGAAGCCTGTCCTGGCGCTGCTGCGCCCTCTAGCTAGGCCCTCTAGCCGGGCCTCCCCGCAGCAGCAGCTGCTCCGGCCAGTCTTGCTGAGCACCAGGTGTAAACACACTCACTCAAGGCTATGCAGGAGGGAAAGTGGGTGAAGCCATGGGTGCCAGGGCTGACCTGTAAGCGTATGCTCCCTCGGGACGTTCAGAAGATTGGAACACTGCCAGCACCGAGGAGCACCAGCTAGAAATGGGACAGGGTCCGTCTAGCTCTACCCCTCCCTTGAGCGCCCGCCCCACTCTCACCCCTACCCCCGTTCTGGATTACTTGCAAGGGCTTGTCCCTCCGAGGCCTGCATGGGGGAGGGGGACAACAGCCCAGCCATGTGAGGCTGCGTGGTTGGAGCAGCTGCAGATGAGCTGAGGAACACGGGTGGGGCTGGGGGGGCTCAGACCTGGAGGTGGGGCAGCTGAACCAGGCAGAAAGGGAGAAAAAAAACTCGCGAGGAGCAGCCTGGGCTGGGGTTAGTGGTCTGTGGCGGGCATAGGAGGGCTCGCTGTGCCCACCTGGCAGGGTCCTTGCAAGGCTCGAAGGTAAGATGGCTGTGCAGGGGCCTCAAAGCGCGCACGGGTGTGAACCAAGGCATGGCTTTTCTCCCCAGAGAGGACCAAGCAGCTCCTTTTCCGCGGGGCCCAGGCCTGTGTGGACCACGGGTGGGATGAAAGCTGTGATGTCGTCCACCTGCCAGAGTCCCCGAAGCCAGGACCCACAGGAACCCCGCGGGCCGCCCGCAGCCAGATGCTGATTGGACCCGACGGCCGACTGGTCAGGAGCCACGCTGCTGCTTCCGAAGCCGCTTCCGAAGCTGGTGAGTGGTGGTGAGGGCAGTGGTGGCAGGTGGCCTTCTCCGCTGCTCCTCCTACCTGAGCAGGCAGGAGTCTGGCCCAGAGCCTGCGGCCGGACAGGTGGCCGGGGCGCAGGCAAACGGAGCG